TAAATGCTAGCGTCACTATGTAACAGGTGGAAGCACAGTTGAGCGAATGTCATACTACACATTCCCGCTGTAATTTAATTCAACTTTGAAAATAATACATAAATATCATCTCTTAAAATGTGTATACATTTTTTTTGACACCTCCTGTATATATTGTTCGGGAAGCACTGAAAGAGGAAAGCAGTTTCAGGTGGAAAGACATGAGGACATTGGTCATTTGGTCCAATCCCTCTTTATCTGGCCAGTCTCCTGTCAGTGTTTGTTCAAATAATAGAGGTTGGGGGGTTGGGGTATTGCTAGAACAATGAAGGCTTTTTTATTCTTCTTTTCTCTTTTTACTATCAGAGCTAGATGATACATAGTCCTCGAGGGCAGAAATCATTTGCTACTTCTTTTATATAACTAACAATAGTAGATATGAAAAAAGAAAATACTCTAATCCTCTCCACTGTGGAAATAAGGTATCAGATTCTGCCACAAACTGTACTGGATTGCTAAAATCTAAGCAGACCTACAACGGATTATTCTCTCTTTTCCCCTATGGTTTTATAGATGTAGATTTGGTTTGTTTCTTCAGGCATATAGACCAAAGATCAGTCTTCCGTCCATAATCCCATCTCCTAGATCAGCAGTTAGATTGATAGTATGTTCTGCTGTGTCTTCATCTGCAATTCCATAGGATGTAGCTCCCAATTCAAAATCTGAAGATTAAAAAGTTGCATCCATGAGCCATGGTCTCCCTCTCTGTTAGCGGCCCACACGCGGGACCCCTGGTCCACTGCCCTCTCCCTCTCCAACCCCAGGAGGGGCATAACAGTAGGTGGGCGCATTTGGATTGGCATTTGTGTCTTCTGGTGTTCACCTGGTTGCTCTATCACATTTTGGGCAGAGTCTGTCTTCCTGACCTTTTTTTTTTTTTTTGCCCCTCCCCTTCCTAGTCAGGTCTCACTTTCCCGGGTTGGAGCGCAGTGGCACCAGTATGGTTCACTGCAGCCTTCACCTCTTTAGGCTTAGGCGATCCTCTCTCCTCAGTCTCCCGAGTAGCTGTTAGGCATGCACCACCATCACTGGCTAATTTTTTTATTTTTGTAGAGATGAGTTCTTGCTATTTTGCCAGGCTGGTCTCGAACTCCTGGGCTCTCAATCCTCTCGCTTTGACCTCCCAAAGTTCTGGGATTACAAGCCACTGTTCCCCATCTCCTTGCCCTTTCCAGTGTCTCTTTTCTGGACTCCAGTTCTTGCTTGCTGTAACTATGGCACCCAGTTAACTTTGCAGCCTAGATTTCCATCTCCTACCCATGGGGCCTGGAGCATCTACCTTAGGTCCCACCAGCCAGAGGACAGTCTTCCTCTCTCCTTATTGCTTCTGGACGTCCTTGTTCTTGTTTGTCAGAGAAGACCAAGGCTCAGAAAAGTTAAATTGAATTTAAAACTACGTCGCTGGAGAGACCTCATCTCTACTATAAATCAAAAATTAGCTGGGCGTGGTAGCGCGCCTGTAGTTCCAGCCACTTGGAAGGCTGAGGCGGAAGGATCGCCTGAGCCCAGCAGGTGGAGGCTGCGGTGGCCGGGGACGGCCACTGCACTCCAGTCTGGGCGACAGAGTGAGACTCTAACTAAAAAATGGTACCTCACGCCCGTAATCCCAGCCCTTTGGGAGGCCAAGGCGTGAGGTTTGCTTGAAAGCCCAGGAGCTCTAGACCAGTCTGGGCAACATAGCCAGACCTTGACTTTTATAAAAAAAAAAAAAGTATTAAACAAACATTTATTTTAAAAATAAATAAGACCATGTTTTCTAGCCAGCCTTGCTTGGGTCCTGACATTTTTTATTTCTGAATGTCTGCGATTGCGTGATCCTCATGGTACTCCCCCAACTCTAGTCAGGCCTGGAGTTGAATGATCCGCACCAACCCCGCACCCACCCCAGAATGTCCAGCGAGCACAGAGCGCAGGCAAGTGGAATACACGATCCACTTGCAAAGACTTCACGATCTGTTTGGATGGACAAAACAGCGCACATGAAACGAAGAGCGACCAAAGCTCTATCCAATCACGCTCCTGTGTGTGTCCCAGATGCGCCCTAGAGAGAAAACAAGTGTTTGCGGAATTTGGTGGCCAAGGCCGTTCAGCCCAGCTTTATCCTCACCCCTACCCCAGTGTCTTCCTAGGCACCTGCAGCCCCCGGCCCGCAGATTTCACGAACCAGAAGCTCGGGCTGGGCCCCGGGAGCGTGACCCGGCTCCCGAGACCCAAGCGGGCATTCTCGGGGTCTCCGCCAGCACCTCGGAGACAGCCCGGCAGGGACTCGCCAGAAGCCCCTGGCGCGGGCCCGGGGACGCG